ACGGGTAATTAACGACAGAACGAGAGGGAACGGCTTCAAGCTCCAACAGGGGAGATTTAGACTGACCGTTAGGAAAGAATTTTTCACGGAAAGAGCGGTCGGGCACTGGAATAGGCTGCCCGGGGAGGGGGTGGAGTCCCCATCCCTGGAGGTGTTGAAGAGCCGTTTCGATGCGGTGTTGGGGGATATGGTGTAGGGGAGAACTTTGTAGAGGAGGGCGGATGGTTGGACTCGATGATCCCCAGGGTCTCTTCCAACCCAGACAATTCTATGAGTCTACAAAACAAAGCGTTTTTTGAGTCTCTAGGAGCAGAATACACGAATCCTTTCGCAGATGCTGCTTAAAGACTTAACAGTAAGAGATGCCGGTTGTATCCGATGTAGGATTTGCATGTTCATACTGCTCCTTGTTGGTCTTTCCTTACCCGCCCCATTTCACCTCGAGATCCCTGAGAGCACATGGTTTTTTCAGTAAATTAAAGCATTTTGAAATTGGTTGAGCAGCAGGGCGGCAGTGAAGCATCCTTGTAGCTGCCAAATAAGGAACGTTAGTCCTGAACAGCATGCGGACTTCACATGTTGTTGTTACGTCCAGAATAACCGAGAATCATAGAATGGTTTAGGTTGGAAGGAACCTTGAAGATCATGGAGTTCCAACCCCCTGCCCTGGGCAGGGACACCTCCCACCAGCCCAGGTTGCTCCAAGCCCCGTCCAACCTGGCCTTGAACACCTCCAGGGATGGGGCAGACACAGCTTCTCGGGGCAACCTGCCCCAGGGGATCACCACCCGCACAGCCAAGAATTTCTTCCCAATATCTCATCCAAATCTCCCCTCTGTCAGTGTCAAAGCGTTCCCCTTGGTCCCACAGCTCCCCTCTCTGATGCAGAGTCCCTCCCCAGCTCTCCTGGAGACCCTTTAGGCACTGGAAGGGGCTCTGAGGTCTCCTCGGAGCCTTCTCTTCTCCAGGCTGAACCCCCCAACTCTCCCAGCCTGTCCTCCCAGCAGAGGGGCTCCAGCCCTCCCAGCATCTCCGGGGCCTCCTCTGGCCCCGCTCCAACAGCTCCGTGTCCTTCTGCTGTTGGGACCCCCCGAGCTGGAGGCAGCACCGCAGGGGGGTCTCCCCAGAGCAGAGCAGAGCGCAGCAGAGGGGCACAATCCCCCCCTAAGGTGACGAAAGGTCCTAGTTTGAGCACAAGAGGAAACATGGAGAGGTATTCTTGCTGTAAAATACTTAAGAGATTTCTCCGACCTAAATGCTACCAAACGATCCTAACGGTGTCATAACTGTTCTTCATTTTAGGCAGCCTTGGAAATAACAGAAATAAACAAGTTAACGGCACAAGTTATCCAGACTCCTTTAAAAATCATCAGGAAAGGTCAGTTTGTTTCAAGCGTTGCGATGAGTTTGGCGAGATGAAAGCATGCCACGATTTACATCCTGTGAATAATAATTCAGTCCTTAATATACCCCTCGATATATTTAAAGGCGGGAAAATACTCCTGCGTTTCTCCCTGCTATCTGCAGTAGCCCTACTTAACTTTATGAAAGCAGTCAAAAGAAGGCTTTGGTCAGGGCAGTAATCTCTCCGGATTACATTGGAATTTGGATTTCGGAAGCAAATGGTTGCCAAAAACCCTTGTAGGTGTTTGCTCTTTACCTCAGCTGCTAACTAATAATGTGAAGTTATTTGTTTTCAACTCAGCTAACGCTTTCTCTTTCTAGCGGAAAAATCGGAACTGGATATCGAAGCTATCGAAGAAGAAGGAGAAGGAGAGCCTCCTTTGCTTCCTCCAGCAACGAAACCCCACAACAGCCAGTGTCTTCCAGAGCTAGACGCTGAAAACATTAATCCGAGAACTGGAAAGGTAAAGAGCTGCTCTTCGCGATGACGTTATTCCCAAGATATAAACTGCTTTCTGAGGTGATGCCTGTGGTCATATATCTTTCCAGGATCCTTTGAGAGGGACTTCGAAACAGGTATCGCTTCCCGAAACGCCTAGCGAAAGGGGAAGGTCACAGAAACATGTGTGGTGTTTCTTTCTGGACTCTTGTGCCGTAAAAAGGAGCGTGTTGGGCCGAACGTTTTGTATGGAAGCGTTTGTCTGTTGTGGACTCGGCTCTCGCGCGATAGCCAATAACTGATTTGGTGAGGAACGTGTCTTTCAGGTGAAGGCGTCCACTAAGAAAGCGCCGGTGTCCAGGAGCAGGAGAGCCCCTTCGGCGAGAGTGAAGCGCATGAGTAAAAGGTAATAGGGAATGTCTTTTTCACCGAGTTTCCGAAATGGAGAAGAAGTGTATTAGAGCGCTACTGCGACTCAGAGTCTCCGAAATGGAGAAGTGTATTAGAGCGCTACTGCGACTCAGAGTCTCCGAAATGGAGAAGAAGTGTATTAGAGCGCTACTGCGACTCAGAGTCTCCGAAATGGAGAAGAGGTGTATTAGAGCGCTACTGCGACTCAGAGTCTCCGAAATGGAGAAGAAGTGTATTAGAGCGCTACTGCGACTCAGAGTCTCCGAAATGGAGAAGAAGTGTATTAGAGCGCTACTGCGACTCAGAGTCTCCGAAATGGAGAAGAAGTGTATTAGAGCGCTACTGCGACTCAGAGTCTCCGAAATGGAGAAGAAGTGTATTAGAGCGCTACTGCGACTCAGAGTCTCCGAAATGGAGAAGAAGTGTATTAGAGCGCTACTGCGACTCAGAGTCTCCGAAATGGAGAAGAAGTGTATTAGAGCGCTACTGCGACTCAGAGTCTCCGAAATGGAGAAGAAGTGTATTAGAGCGCTACTGCGACTCAGAGTCTCCGAAATGGAGAAGAAGTGTATTAGAGCGCTACTGCGACTCAGAGTCTCCGAAATGGAGAAGAAGTGTATTAGAGCGCTACTGCGACTCAGAGTCTCCGAAATGGAGAAGAAGTGTATTAGAGCGCTACTGCGACTCAGAGTCTCCGAAATGGAGAAGAAGTGTATTAGAGCGCTACTGCGACTCAGAGTCTCCGAAATGGAGAAGAAGTGTATTAGAGCGCTACTGCGACTCAGAGTCTCCGAAATGGAGAAGAAGTGTATTAGAGCGCTACTGCGACTCAGAGTCTCCGAAATGGAGAAGAAGTGTATTAGAGCGCTACTGCGACTCAGAGTCTCCGAAATGGAGAAGAAGTGTATTAGAGCGCTACTGCGACTCAGAGTCTCCGAAATGGAGAAGAAGTGTATTAGAGCGCTACTGCGACTCAGAGTCTCCGAAATGGAGAAGAAGTGTATTAGAGCGCTACTGCGACTCAGAGTCTCCGAAATGGAGAAGAAGTGTATTAGAGCGCTACTGCGACTCAGAGTCTCCGAAATGGAGAAGAAGTGTATTAGAGCGCTACTGCGACTCAGAGTCTCCGAAATGGAGAAGAAGTGTATTAGAGCGCTACTGCGACTCAGAGTCTCCGAAATGGAGAAGAAGTGTATTAGAGCGCTACTGCGACTCAGAGTCTCCGAAATGGAGAAGAAGTGTATTAGAGCGCTACTGCGACTCAGAGTCTCCGAAATGGAGAAGAAGTGTATTAGAGCGCTACTGCGACTCAGAGTCTCCGAAATGGAGAAGAAGTGTATTAGAGCGCTACTGCGACTCAGAGTCTCCGAAATGGAGAAGAAGTGTATTAGAGCGCTACTGCGACTCAGAGTCTCCGAAATGGAGAAGAAGTGTATTAGAGCGCTACTGCGACTCAGAGTCTCCGAAATGGAGAAGAAGTGTATTAGAGCGCTACTGCGACTCAGAGTCTCCGAAATGGAGAAGAAGTGTATTAGAGCGCTACTGCGACTCAGAGTCTCCGAAATGGAGAAGAAGTGTATTAGAGCGCTACTGCGACTCAGAGTCTCCGAAATGGAGAAGAAGTGTATTAGAGCGCTACTGCGACTCAGAGTCTCCGAAATGGAGAAGAAGTGTATTAGAGCGCTACTGCGACTCAGAGTCTCCGAAATGGAGAAGAAGTGTATTAGAGCGCTACTGCGACTCAGAGTCTCCGAAATGGAGAAGAAGTGTATTAGAGCGCTACTGCGACTCAGAGTCTCCGAAATGGAGAAGAAGTGTATTAGAGCGCTACTGCGACTCAGAGTCTCCGAAATGGAGAAGAAGTGTATTAGAGCGCTACTGCGACTCAGAGTCTCCGAAATGGAGAAGAAGTGTATTAGAGCGCTACTGCGACTCAGAGTCTCCGAAATGGAGAAGAAGTGTATTAGAGCGCTACTGCGACTCAGAGTCTCCGAAATGGAGAAGAAGTGTATTAGAGCGCTACTGCGACTCAGAGTCTCCGAAATGGAGAAGAAGTGTATTAGAGCGCTACTGCGACTCAGAGTCTCCGAAATGGAGAAGAAGTGTATTAGAGCGCTACTGCGACTCAGAGTCTCCGAAATGGAGAAGAAGTGTATTAGAGCGCTACTGCGACTCAGAGTCTCCGAAATGGAGAAGAAGTGTATTAGAGCGCTACTGCGACTCAGAGTCTCCGAAATGGAGAAGAAGTGTATTAGAGCGCTACTGCGACTCAGAGTCTCCGAAATGGAGAAGAAGTGTATTAGAGCGCTACTGCGACTCAGAGTCTCCGAAATGGAGAAGAAGTGTATTAGAGCGCTACTGCGACTCAGAGTCTCCGAAATGGAGAAGAAGTGTATTAGAGCGCTACTGCGACTCAGAGTCTCCGAAATGGAGAAGAAGTGTATTAGAGCGCTACTGCGACTCAGAGTCTCCGAAATGGAGAAGAAGTGTATTAGAGCGCTACTGCGACTCAGAGTCTCCGAAATGGAGAAGAAGTGTATTAGAGCGCTACTGCGACTCAGAGTCTCCGAAATGGAGAAGAAGTGTATTAGAGCGCTACTGCGACTCAGAGTCTCCGAAATGGAGAAGAAGTGTATTAGAGCGCTACTGCGACTCAGAGTCTCCGAAATGGAGAAGAAGTGTATTAGAGCGCTACTGCGACTCAGAGTCTCCGAAATGGAGAAGAAGTGTATTAGAGCGCTACTGCGACTCAGAGTCTCCGAAATGGAGAAGAAGTGTATTAGAGCGCTACTGCGACTCAGAGTCTCCGAAATGGAGAAGAAGTGTATTAGAGCGCTACTGCGACTCAGAGTCTCCGAAATGGAGAAGAAGTGTATTAGAGCGCTACTGCGACTCAGAGTCTCCGAAATGGAGAAGAAGTGTATTAGAGCGCTACTGCGACTCAGAGTCTCCGAAATGGAGAAGAAGTGTATTAGAGCGCTACTGCGACTCAGAGTCTCCGAAATGGAGAAGAAGTGTATTAGAGCGCTACTGCGACTCAGAGTCTCCGAAATGGAGAAGAAGTGTATTAGAGCGCTACTGCGACTCAGAGTCTCCGAAATGGAGAAGAAGTGTATTAGAGCGCTACTGCGACTCAGAGTCTCCGAAATGGAGAAGAAGTGTATTAGAGCGCTACTGCGACTCAGAGTCTCCGAAATGGAGAAGAAGTGTATTAGAGCGCTACTGCGACTCAGAGTCTCCGAAATGGAGAAGAAGTGTATTAGAGCGCTACTGCGACTCAGAGTCTCCGAAATGGAGAAGTGTATTAGAGCGCTACTGCGACTCAGAGTCTCCGAAATGGAGAAGAAGTGTATTAGAGCGCTACTGCGACTCAGAGTCTCCGAAATGGAGAAGAAGTGTATTAGAGCGCTACTGCGACTCAGAGTCTCCGAAATGGAGGAGAAGTGTATTAGAGCGCTACTGCGACTCAGAGTCTCCGAAATGGAGGAGAAGTGTATTAGAGCGCTACTGCGACTCAGAGTCTCCGAAATGGAGAAGAAGTGTATTAGAGCGCTACTGCGACTCAGAGTCTCCGAAATGGAGAAGAAGTGTATTAGAGCGCTACTGCGACTCAGAGTCTCCGAAATGGAGAAGAAGTGTATTAGAGCGCTACTGCGACTCAGAGTCTCCGAAATGGAGAAGAAGTGTATTAGAGCGCTACTGCGACTCAGAGTCTCCGAAATGGAGAAGAAGTGTATTAGAGCGCTACTGCGACTCAGAGTCTCCGAAATGGAGAAGTGTATTAGAGCGCTACTGCGACTCAGAGTCTCCGAAATGGAGAAGAAGTGTATCAGAGCGCTACTGCGACTCAGAGTCTCCGAAATGGAGAAGAAGTGTATTAGAGCGCTACTGCGACTCAGAGTCTCCGAAATGGAGAAGTGTATTAGAGCGCTACTGCGACTCAGAGTCTCCGAAATGGAGAAGTGTATTAGAGCGCTACTGCGACTCAGAGTCTCCGAAATGGAGAAGAAGTGTATTAGAGCGCTACTGCGACTCAGAGTCTCCGAAAAGGAGAATGATGTACAGTGGTACCGTAACTCTTCGCTGGAATGGAGTGTGTTTAGCAGTCCGGGTGATGTAGTTGTTCGCACTATGGGGAAAAATCGGTGGTCAGCGCATGAAGGACGGGCAACTTTCTCTCCTGTGCTGTCCGGCTGTCCCCAGCTTCCGGGTTTACCTTTGATTAGTACGAAGCTCCGGTTTTCTGTGGCGATAACCTCATTCAAGTCGTCGATAAGAGAGTGCTTCTACGTTTGTTAAACGTATTCTGATGAGGAGATGTTTATTTCCCTTTCACAGATCGAGCAGAACCAACTTCGTCACTCCGGCTGCTGGTAGAGTTGTTGACCTCTGTGCTCCGGGAGGTACCTCCGTGGTCACAACCAAATTTGATTCCAGGTTTGTATCCCGTTAAATGTCTCTTTTAATTTCTCGTATAGGGGAGCGCTTTACCATTTGCTTTCTGGATCTGTCTGTCGCCTATTTGCAGCCTAATCCTGAGCGTCTCTCTCAACCCGAAATGAAAGACTTTGACTCAAAGCGCTTCGAGGAATTGCAGTGAAGTTTACTTACCTATAACTTTTTTTTGTTTCAGAGTTTTCAAGACACCGGGTTTGCGCATACCCGCGGTCAATGAACGCGTTTACACCATCTCCGCCAACGGCAGCCCCCTCGCTGACAGCAACGATATCTTCATTACAGTCCCTGTTGGAGGAGGGGAGGTAAATCGCAGAATTTTCAGAGCTGGAAGGGACCTCCAGAGCTCACCCAGTCCCACCCCCCTGCTAAAGCAGGACTGCCCAGAGCACATCGCTCAGGACTGCATCCAGGCGGGTCTTGAAAACCTCCAGAGAGGGACTCCCCCCCCCCCTGGGCAGCCTGTGCCAGCGCTCTGTCACCCCAACCCTAAAGAAGTTCTTCCCTCTGTTGGAACGGAACTTCCTCTGCTCCACCTTGTGCCCACTGCCCCTCGTCCTGTCACTGGGAACCACCGAGAAGAGTCTGGCTCCATCCTCCTCCAACCCCCCTTTAGATACGTGTATGCCATAATAAGGTCTCCCCTCAGCCTTCTCCTCTCCAGGCTAAAGAGTCCCAGCGCTCTCAGCCTCTCCTCATACGGGAGATGCTCCAATCCCTCAGTCATCTTGGTTGCCCTTCGCTGGACTCTCTCCAGCAGTTCCCTGTCCCTCTGGAACTGGGGAGCCCAAAACTGGACGCAGTATTCCAGTTGTGGCCTCACCAGTGCCGACTACAGGGGGAGAATGACCTCCCTCCACCTACTGGCCACACTCTTCCCTACGCAGCCCAGGATTCCATTGGCCTTTTTGGCAACAAGGGCACACTGCTGGCTCATGGACAATTTACTATCTACCAGGTCCCCCAGATCCTTCTCCTCCTCCCAGCAGGTCCACCCCTAACCTATACTGGTGCCCAGCACTCTTCCTCCCCAGAGTGCAGGACCTTGCACTTGCTCTTGTTGAACCTCATGAGGTTCCTCTCTGCCCAGCTCTCCAGCTTGGCCAGGTCACGCTGGACGGCAGCGCGGCCCTCTGGAGAGTCAGCCACCCCTCCCAGTTTGGTATCATCAGCGAACGTGCTGAGGATACACTCTGTCCCCTCATCCGGGTCGTTAATGAACATATTAAACAAAATCGGACCGAGGATCGACCCCTGGGGGACACCACCGCTTACAGTCCTCCAACTTGACTTCAGAAACTTGAAGCTGTACGATCTCTGCCCAAGGGAGAGCTTGTAACTTCTTGGGGCCTTCACCGGTTTCAGGTCATCCACTCTCCTCTCTTTAGTTGTGCCGCTGCAGTTTATCAGGGGATCGATGGAGCTTTAGAAGAACCTTGGAAGATGACTTTTTTTTTATTTTTTTAGTTCAGAGTGGGAGCTGGTCCCAGCAGAACGTGGAATGACGTTTCGCTGTGCGTTTCAGTAACGTTGAAAGCAGCTTCTGTTGGCGGTAATGCGTTAAGGCACCGCCAGGAAGGCGTCCGATGAGCTTCTGGTCGAGCTGAATGTATTTCTCTACCTGTGTGTGGTCTCCTAGTGTGCTCGGATTCTTTTCCGTTCGTTTTTCTCCTGTTACTGGCTGCCACAGCTGGCCAAACAGAAACCCCAAGATTTGGGTTTGTTGGTTTATTTATTTATTTTTATTTTTTTTTTTCCCTCCCCCACAGAGCATTCGTTTAACAGCAAGTGATTTGACGAAGAAGAATCTCCTTCATCTGAATCCGGAGGCCCAGGGAATTATGAAGAAGCTGTCGGTGAGTCTGTGTATTTTTGTACGTCGTCACCCGAAGCTGTAAGGCGGTGTCGTCACTCCCGTGTTCGTCAGTGGACTGTTGACCTGGAATAGAAACTTCTTATTTCCCCCCCGCCCCGAATTACCGTGTATTTTGGCTCGTGTCGCTGGTCTGGAAGAAGCACGAAGTGAGAAGAGGGAGCAGTGACGCCGCATCCAGCCTAAACCAAACCGCGGGTAAACCCCGCACTTCGTGGAAAACCAACTGCGGTCAATGTTTTGAACAACTGAATCAACACTGAAAGCGTCTCCTACTTCAGCAGCAGTTGTAAGTGGGTTTGGGATAGCGGAGTGTCTCTACCGATTAATTTCTCTCTCTTTCCAGGTTCGTCTCGCGCAAGCTTGCAGCGGTGCAAAAACCTACAGATGAAACTCGGTGAATGCAGACATCCATACGGAACGTTACGTTTAGGGCTGCTGCCTTTAGTTCTCATTCGAATTTGTGTCTTCCGTTATGTTACGGAATAGAATGGAAGTTAAAAACTAAATTTTCTACCTATAATGTGTAATGGGATTAGAATAAATGGCGCTTTTTTATTATTATTCAGAAAATAAACCACTTTCTTTCCTATTTCCTCGAAGGTTGAGACCAAGGTAGAATTATTTTGGGCTTGCAGACCAGCGAGCCGGGTGGAGAGGCTGCTCTGGTGTCTCGCGTAAGACGTAAGCGGTGGACACAATCCACTGGAGTTTATATCTCTCTTGGCAAAGACAGCAACAGCTCCCACTCGTCGCGCTTCCTTCCGGGCACGTAGTTCCTCTGCAGACGTGCTTCAAAGGTGATGACGATCTCGGTGGGATACCTGAGGTACCTGACAGCAAGTTACCAGCGCCTGGGACTAAATGGAAAGCCGCTTGGAGTTCGCGGTGCCGCC